CGTCACAACATGTCAATCAGAGAACACGGGCAAGATCGTTGCCAAGAACTTTGTCATCGCCAAGATCTTCATCGACAGGATCGAAACCTAAACCGCTCGAGAAACGACCATCAAAGACGGTGATGCAATGTCTACAGTTGTCTTCCAAGACAAAGGAACGTGAGAGGTCAGGAGTCCTGAGAAGTCGAGATCAAAGTCCTCTTCTCGGAGTTCATCGCGGAAAGCAGTCAGGAAACCGCTTGAGTCCTCGCCACCTTTGGTGAGAGGACGAGATGCGAGCCAGGATCCGTTGCCTTGGGCGGGGAACCCTGGTGTAGCATCCGGAAGTACTGACAATGCTGACGCAATGTTGGACAAGGCTATTCATCATCATCTACATGGTAATGATCCTATGGGTCTTCAGCATCAAGGAAGTACGACTCCAACGCGCCAAATGCTGAGGCTTACGGAGGAAGATCGTGTACAACAAATCCTCTATGCTGAAGAAGAGATGAAGAAAGCTCATGAACGCGAAGTTCAGAAGCATGAGGAGAATGCGATCATGATGAACCAGCAGGTGAAGCGGATGGTGCAATGGTTGGAATTTCACCAAGTAGAAGATCAAGGTTCTACCATGAGGATTGATGAACTTGAACGACAGAGGGACCTTCTATCGAACCTGGTTGGACACGTGAGTCGTCGTCATCAAGAGACTACCGAAGAGTACGTCCACGTGGTGAGAGGTATTGAGGAAGCGAGTTCGGCCCAGCGTCAACGTGATGAACACACGGCAGAAGCTTTACACCAGGAATTGGGTCACCTACGCAACGAAGCTTCACAGAGTTTCGTCGAACTGGAACATATGGCTCAGAATGGTGAATACAACATGGCCATGCAGTACCAGAAGTTGACGCACACTCTGAATGAGAAGGCTCATGAAGCGCTGAAATACAGGATGGAAGCATCCAACAGGGAATCCGAAGTGGCAGCGATGCGCGAGGCAATCGAGATGATCAGAGGAGAGGAACAAATGGCAAAGGAAGAAGCGAGAAGCTCAATCCTTGCTGCGGAATCTGGAGTGTGTTCTCTACGAGACCGATTGAGCAAGGAGGAAGCAGCCAATCGTGATGCTAACGCGGGAATGCTTCAAGCAGAAGCTTACGCTCGCCAGGCATCTGAACGTGAGCGCCCGATTACTGCTCTACACAGAAGCTGGAGATCGAGGCAGAACGCTTACGAAGCCAACAACACTCTCAAAGATCGTTGAATGCGCCATACTCATCGAAAATTTCTGAGACGGGATGGGAATTTGTGAGTAGCCAGGTAGGTAGTCAGAAAGGGTCCGCAGTTCCGGTAGCTAGTGAGGTGCGATTGCCTGACGTCGGCTCTCCAGGTTTGCGCAGTCCTGTTAACAGAGGGAAGGCCATCATTGATACTTGCTCCGCAATATCCCCAATCGTGCAAGATGCGAACGTTGATCAACCGAGTCCGATGTTTCCGGCAAGTTCGGTGCCAACTACGCGCGCCACTCTTACTGGGAAAGAGGTACGGGACAATCAACTTCGTGAACTCCTTAGGATGCAGGGCATGCAAGGAACGTCATCATCGTCGTCAGGAAGCGTACCGTTGAATGTTGGTGCGTCCACTGGGACAACCAACAAGAACATCTTCATTGAAGAGAATGACGACGTGAAGTCGCAAAACCTCATTGCCGAATTGGTCGAGCAAGACGTCTTGAGGGCGGACAACCTCGGTAGGCAAGGTTTTTTTGCACACGGGCGCTGCCAACGAATTGCTCGAGACTGCTGAACAATTCCAACAGGAATACGACCAGGAACAGGGCGAAAACGGAGGGATTTGTCATGAAGAAGAATTGGCACCTTCCGAATCTCCCACAAATCTTGGCCCTCGTGCTCCTGGCGGAGGTGATGGAGATGATGATATACCATCTAAGGGACGTAAGCGTCGCGGAGGCGACCCAGAGCCTGATCCTCCTGATGATGTAGACGAAGAAGGCGGTCATGAAGTCACTTCAGTCAAAATATCTAGGATGGAAGCAGACAAGGTTGTGGTGCCACCTTTTCCGAAGGTCACACACCTTGACAGTTGGATGGCAAACTGCGCAGCGAATGTCCTTGGTGCTTGCGCAGATCCAAACCACAAAAAAAATAGCCTGGCTTCAGCCAACGTTTCGTCCAAACCCTGACATTGACGCGCTGAATGATTCTGGTGACATCAAGTTCAAGAGCATTGATGTGAAGCTGGGTGTAGCCATGACAGCCATGATCAAGAATGGTGGTGACGGTGCACAGGATTTGTACTTGAACGTCAACCGATCAGCAAACAAGTTGATGCACGATCATGCAAAGCTACTCAAGGGAAGGCAGATCATCGCCATGATGTACGAAAGTTTCAGGGCGCGTGATCGATTGGACATGATTGTCTCTCTCGACTACCTCATCAGGTTACAATATCAAGGTGACCAAAAGATGAACACGTTCAAACAGACATGGTTGGAAATCATTGATCGAGTGCGACCTGAAGATGTCCCATCCGAGACAGCACTGACGGACACGCTCTACTCAAAGATCAAGGATTCTCCAGCGTTGAAACAAGAACTTTGCGTACGTTATGATATGCTGAACTACGATGACCCCAATCGTTCATACCAGAAACTCCTTCATATCGTGGAGAGATGTATTCGGAGGAATCGAGAGAACAGGAACCAACAGCAGATCAGTTCTGGTCTCAACTTGATGGTTGCTGGCAAAGACTCGTGCAATGTCTGCTCTCGCAGCAAAAGTCAAAGGAGGTGGAAAGGGCAACGGCAACACATCCGGCAAGAAGGGCAATAAGACGGACAATGAGAACGCAGCTCCAGTTCTTCTCCAGACCAAAGCCAAGGCGCATTCCAAAGCCAAGGCGAAGGGCAAACCCGATAAGAACAAACAAAGGGAGAGATCTGAATCCACGGATGGGAAGCCGAACTTGAAGCACATCAAATGCAGGTTCTTCTTCTCCGAGCACAGCGAATGCAAGGGGATCGATGCCCGTACAGTCACTCGAAGAAGACGCCTGAGCGAGGACGAAGTACAACTCCTGGTCGAAGACGAACAGCAGGAAGCAGTCCTTCAACCGACAACAAACAAAAGGTGTGCTACAACTTCAAGAAGAGTGGAACTTGCAGTCGCGACAATTGCCCATATGCTCACATCAATCCTGCCACACCGGCAGAGACCGAAGAAAAGCCCGAGGCCAAGGCCAAGGCCAAGGCGAAGCCGAAGCCGGAAGCCAAAGCTGAAGCAAAAGAAAAGGCAAAAGCAAAGGGCAAGCCAAAGACCGCAGCTCCAGCAATAAGAATGTGCAGAGCATGGAATCCTCTTGCTCCAGCAGTGCGCAAGAAAGTGTGCGTTGAAGACGATGAAGAGTCTGAATGTTCTTCCATCGACAGCGACATCGATTCGGATTGTTCCACGGATGATGAACGGGATGGGACGACTTGGTCGACCAAACCGAAAGTGGAAAAACGAGTGTCATTCGCTGCTGATGTGACTTTTCAATCATCGCGACCAAGAAAATCAAAGAAGGATCGCGGTGAGAAGATAGTCAAAGTCAACATGAAGAAGTTCATCGAGAGCGAGAATCGACCGAATGAGATTGGGTTTGCGATGCACAAGCCTCGTTTGAGAGCGCAGCTGATGTATGACATGTTAGCAGATGACAAACCGGGCGATCGACAAGTATACGTACGAATCCCCGGAACTGACGAAGCCACGCAAATCATATTCTTCGACGGCGAGGATGAGATTGTGGAGATGGATGTCAACTCCAAGAAGAGTAAAGGGTTGAAGGTCTTCGATGAGGTCACACGCATGGTTCAACCAACATGGGTTCGATCCAAGATCAAGTTCCTTATGGATACTGGTTGCGGACATGACCTCATATCTCAGCGAAAAGTCGAGAAACATGGATTGGAAACGCTTGTCAGTCCGGAGAGCGGAGTATCATTTCAAACAGCAAATGGCGTTGCTGCCACTGATTTGATGTCGAACTTCCAGACAAAGTCGTTCGCGGAGACGATCAACGCCTACGTTCTCGATGACACACCATCAGTTCTTTCGGTGGGAAAGAGATGCATGCAGCAAGGGTATGGATTCGTATGGCCACCCGGAAAGGATCCGTTCATGATCAACCCGGAGGGCAAGAGGATATCTCTCTTCGTGCATGGCGACATTCCCTACATTCGTGCGGGAAGTCAGAAATCAGGACCATGCGAAGATGAGGTCGCGTCCAACATCAAGTCCATATTCGACGGCATTGGTGAAAGTGGGTTGTTATCCAGCACAGCGGTAGATGCCGCTCCAGCAACCGCATCATCTGGAGCAGATGCAGATGGTCCACAAGAAGAAGAATTGGAAGGACCTCCCGATGATGAGATATCAGCGGATGAAGCTCCTGACGAGGAAGTGCCGGTAGCGGAGGCAGGAAGACCGCCGGAACCGCCAGACGGAGAACGTGAAGATGGGGCAGAAGACGAACGAGAGATCGAGGTTGAGGGCGAAGGAGAGCCGACTCGTAAAGCGAAGATTGGCACACTCAAGGCAGAGGCCAAGACGCTCGCACACCTTTGTGCTCATCGATATCGAAATCCGTATTGTGAAGCATGCATTCGGGCAAAGATGAAGCACTACCGGACGGAACGTGGGGCTTTCAAGAGGGAATTGAAGTCATGGGGGGATTTGATCACCTTCGATTTCCTTGACATGCGCAAAGCGGCTGACATGGGCGTGGGCAACGACGACGAAGATCGAGAAATTCTTGTTGTACGTGATGTTGCAACCAAGGTTATTGCTGCAATCCCAACGAAGACTCGATTCACAGACGACGTCGTGGATGCCTTGAGGAGATTGATTGGAAGACGGAAGGTGAAGCTTGCGTATAGTGATGCAGCACCTGAGTTTGATGCAGCGATGGTGCAACTTCGAATTACAGTTGATCATTCGTTGCCCGGTCATCCCAAGAACAATTCTCTTGCAGAAAGAACCAATCAGGTGGTGATCAACGCTGTGGCCACCGCACTACTTCATGCCGGATTACCTGCGCAATATTGGCCATATGCCCTAAATTGTGTGACTCACAACCTTAACATCGAGGGTGTCGAGGGTGATGGTGACTCAGCATGGAAGAGAAGGACAGGGGAAGACTTCAAAGGGAAGCCATACCGTTTGGTGCCAAAGTTTTCTTCAAGCCGACATCTACAAGGAAGGACATGACCTACACCGGAAAGTTCGATCCAAAGAGAATCCCGGGAATATTCGCAGGGTGCGTGATCACTGCTGGACAGCAATATGGTCGAGAAAGTACAGAGTTTGGGACATGGCGGAGTTTGCGAACGTGAACTTGTCCATGAATGCATCAGTGCCAAGAAGACTCACTCAACCTTTCACGACTGAAGTGGTGGTACTACCGGAGAAGCTCGAATTTCCGTTGAAGAACGAGTACGAAAGGATGAACGCCACGCTTGAAGGACTCAAGGACAATGCGGAGTTGAAAGGCAAAGAGATCAATGATCTCGATCCCGAAGGTCATCCACCTGGTGGAGGTCCAGGCGGTGATGATGACGATGACGATGATGACAAACCACCCAAACTCCCTCCTGATCCTGGAGAAGAAGACGAAGGGATCGGAATAGGAGATCTCATGGTTGATGAACATGAAGTTCTGGACGCCTTGGGCGACAGACTTCTTGACGAGGCAGTAGATCGAGGAGAGTCACGAAGCATGATACCAAGATCGTCAGGTACAACTAGACCCGAGGAACCACGCTCATCTGATGAAGTGGGACCTTCAGGGAGGCTTATCCCGAAAGGAGGCGAGGAAGATCCAGGGGACATTCTACGCCAACTGAAGGAGGCTAAGCTTGTAGGAGATGAAGTCGAACATTGGCATACAGGTGTCAAGGGTGACGGCAAGATCTACCTCACTGACGATGGAGAGGCATGCAAGATTGACAAGCGTGGAGTTGCGTACAAAGTTGGAAGTGACGGTCGGCGTATCGTTCCCTCTAGGCGACCCAAACACTTGTACTCACCTGAGGAGTGGGACACAATGGGTGCCAAAGAGCTAAAGCACACAAGAAAGACAAACGTGAGAAGGCTAAGGCAGCCAAGAAGGAAAAGAAGAGAGCCGCCGTGGGCAAACGGATCGTGAACAATATGCTGGACAAGATGATCTTTCCCAAGATGGTTCAGTGCAGTCAGATCGACCTTGAGCTGGGCGGATCGTGTACTGAAGGATGGGAATGGGCCGAAGAATTGGTCCAACAACAGATTCAAGAAGAGTATCTTCAAGAAGTCGTACCAGCAGTTCCGGCCTGTTCCGTGTTCAACGAAGATTGGATACCAGCTATGCCATGCACCGCGTCGATACCTCCACAATCACATCGCGTCAAGAACCCAGAACAACGATCATGCTTCAATGCCATGGTCACTCGTCCAGTCACGCGGAAGGAGATGGTCTCCAATCCCAAGGCCATGGAAGCGTTCATGAAAGAGTGGAAAGGATTGTGGGATCAGGAAGTCTTTGATTTCTCACAGACCCGTGAGTATGACGAAGGCAAAGAAGAAGGGTGAAAAGGTACACGTGGCTCGTGTGCATGGGCTCATCTACGAGAAGAACTACCAGTTGAAAGAGGATGACCCTGCCCGAAAGTTCAAGGGGCGTGGTGTTTTGCTTGGTGATCAGGTGAAAGACCAGAACATGGAAGCAGCGCTCTTCCAAGATCTTGGCAATTCCCCGGCCACCTTCGATGCATCACGATGGGCTGACTACTATGGTTGCTTACCAGGAAACGATGTTCAGATGGCAGATGCTATACAAGCTTACATTCAGGCTCGGCTCTCCGGCACTCCGTGCTGGGTAGAACTACCAGAAGAAGCTTGGCATCCATCCGCGAATCATCGCAAATTCCGACGAACGGTATGCAGGCTCGTCGAAGCTCTATATGGACATCCTGATGCAGGAACCATGTGGGAACAACATTGTCACACGGCAGTACAGACAGTCGGTTTCAAGCCTATTGGGGACGAATGGCCGTCGTTGTACTTCCATCCGGAGAAGAAGTTGCTCTTGGTGATCTACGTTGATGATTTGAAGATGGCTGGACCCAAGGATCAACTCAAATCTGGAAATGCTTCGTACAGAACTACGTCTCGAAGAAGAGACACCATTGGGCTTGTACCTGGGCTGCCGCATCTCCAAAGGGGAAGCCAGTGTCCACGGGAAAAGTCATCGATGCACGTGGTGTGGACACACCATGCCTGTTGACGCGGATGGTCGGTTGACACCGCCTCCACCTATTCCCAAGGGCCCAGAGGAAGAGGCAGTCACTGACGAAAATCGAGGTGCTTTGGCTCCTCAAGCGGCCAGTATAGTAATGAAGTTGCTGTATGCCGCCCGCATTTGTCGTTTCGACTTATTGCGCAGCATCAACAACCTTGCTCGCAA